ATTTTTTATGTAAAAAAAGCCCTCCAGTGTAGAAGGAAAAAAATCACAAGGACTATAATAAAAATATAGATTACAATATTCAAATTTATGCCCCAAAACTTGAATTCTCAATAAATTGGAAATACCATAATAATTAATCTCTATAACAATAATTTATCTCATCACAAATTACCAATTTAATTAAATTTGTGAGAACCCACTTTGAATATAGCACCTATGAAGTACCCAAAATGCACCTTACAGAAAATCCCAAAATGCCACGATTTTGAGACTTTTTATATATGTGTCCACTTTTGTTGACCCAAAGTAAGGAGGATTGGGCTTTTTTCTCATGGTTGGACGAGCCCATTTAACACTATTTATAATAAACTCGAAAAGATAGCAATATATGTACTTATCCGGTGGATGTTGATGTAGAGCATCACATGAATGTGAAGGTGTCCTTATCTTGAAAAAGATTCTTCGAGCAAGGTCCGAATGAATACTTACAAAAATATAACGGGTTTGAGTTTGATGCAAGCAAATAGTAATAAGAATTTTTTTATCAATACCCCTTCTATCTTGCACTCGTGATTACTCCATTATACAAATCTTTAATATTATTGATCTATTTGACAATTTGTATGTCCAAGAAACCGACCATAGCACTTCTTTGAACTATCGTTGGTATTTTTCCTAAATCACTTGATAGTCATTTTGCAAAAAACAAAGGTTATTATTGATGTTTCATCATAATTATTAGATTATTCTATGGATATAGAACTTGACTGCATCTCTGTCATCAGGTATAGCAATTGATAAAAGGGGTTACATCCCCTACATCACGTGGATCACACGTGTATTTCATGTGTATTGCACGTGTTTTTCACGTGCATTACATACACGTGACATTAGATTCAGAGACTTGTGAATGGTGGCACTTTGAGTTTGAACACATTAACTAGAAACTGGAAAAGGTATTTGATTTTTGTTCTTTTTCTAAATTTTAAGTTTTTCTCTGACATTTTAGAGTCCATAATCAAGTTTTTTGATAATTGCTAAGCCCAGTATACATTTGTATGACTAAATAAATTTAGATTGGTTTCTACTAACCCGGGCTTCATATGAGTGTTAACCATTTTCTAGTAATAAAATTTTGCCGTTTTTAACTTGGACAACCATTCTGCATTAACGTTATTATATTAATCTTCACTTTATTACTAAGTATACTTTTGTTTTTTGGAATATCTGTACAATGTCTTTGCCACTCCCATGGCTATTTGACTAGTAAAACCCATTCGCTTCTCCAGAAAACACATCTGTATATAAGGTGTCATTAGTATTACTGCCACTTTATATGTATTATGCTGTATATATTGATGGATTATCCATGTACAACGTCTCACTACAAAAAAATTATCGATTTTGTGACCAGAAAATATTATCGCATAAATAGAGATTTTGGTCACAAAAATATTTTAAGGACAACAAGATGTTTGTTGCGGACATTGTTAGGTTATATGAGTTACAGAATGTATATATTTTGTGACAACTTTTATTTATTCATTGCATAAACAAACTCACAACTTTATTTGTTTGAAGCAGGCAGTATGAAAGTGATGTGGACATCCATTTACTATTTATTTTCGTCCATTTACTATTTATTTTCTTTTTGGACTATTAGTTATATTCTAGTTGGATTATTATTTATATTTCTGTTATTGGACTTGTTTAGTGGGTTTGGCCCAAACCCTTCTCTTTAGGGTTTGTGTTCTGCTATTTATTTCTGTTTTGTTTTTCATTTGAGACAGTTGATGATGAATTAGAATTAAAATATTTTTGGTGGCTTGCAGCCGTTTTCTCCCTCCCCTCTCTTCCCCTGATTTCTTCTCCTCTTCTCCCTTCTCTCTGTTTCTCCTCCCCATTCCTTCTTCTTTCTTTCTTATTCATCCTACATCAAATTTGGTATCAGAGCCGAACCATGGGTAATTTCTTTTCTTTAATCCAAAATTTATTCATATTTCTTTCCCAAAATCTGTTGGAACAGCATGAACTAAAAGAATATTTGGTACAGGTAGCAGCTTTTTTTCTTCTTCTTCAATTTTCAGTCTTAGGTGAAAAAAAAAAAAAATTCACTGTTCACGGGTACTGTTCACCTTTTTTTAATAGATTTTTCAGTAGTTTCAAAAAAAAAAAAAAAATCGTTACTGTTCACGGGTACTGTTCACACCCGAATTTTTTTATTTTTATTTTTTGTTTATCGTTTTCTACAGTTCCCAAAAAAAAAAAGAAAGTTGAAAAAAAAAAAAAAAAAAAAGAAAAAGGGAAAAAAAACAAGTGAAAAAAAAAGAAAAAAAAAAGAAAAAGGAAAAAAAAAGTGAAAAAAAAAGCGAAAAAAAAAGAAAAAAAAAAGAGAAGAAACGTCTTTTCTATTATTTACAGGTACATCTTTTATTCTGGTTGATCTGGCTTGACTACTTCGACGAACGAAAGGGAAGTTCTTGCTTTTATTTATTGTTGGTTTATATTACTGTTTCATTTTGAAATTGCATCAATTAAATTTTTGTGCTGCTACTGATCTATTTTTATCTAAACTCACGTAATTGGATCCATTGACCTCGTTAAATCTCACTTTAACCTGCTTATTTTACGTGATTAGGTTTTGACTAGTATTTGACCATTG